CATCCATTCACCCACCCACCCATCCATCTATCCACCCATCCACTCGCCCATCCATCCATCCATCCATCCATCTACACGTCTACAGTCTGCCCCTGCTTCTTGTCAAAGCTTTCTGTTGCACTGAGTTCTAGCCTACACTGAGTTCCCCTACTGAGGAATATTTTTGAACTTTTTTTTTTGAGACATAGTCTCATTATGTAATCATATATGTAGCCCAGAATGATTTCAAACACAAGAACCTCCTGCCTCTGCCTCCCAAGTTCTGGGATCACAGCACATCTGGGCTTTTCTGAATGCAGCTGCTGAGAGTATTCACACAGAGCATAAGTCTTTGTGTGGACATGGCTGTTTATAGGAGAGTGCACACTCAACTTTAAGCATCATCGCTCTCTCCTCTGTCCTTCCTCATTCTCTCAGCTTGTGAGGCTTCTGGGAAGACAGGGAATACAGTTAAACAGACATAATACAATCCCACTGCCCTGAACACCGAGAACCTGGGTCCTGGAAATTGCTGTTCCCAGAGTGTGGACCCCCCAAACCACCAAGAGACCAGATGCAATGTCAAAGCAAAGAGTTGTTTATTTATTTATTTATTTATTTATTTATTTATTTATTTATTTATTATGTACACAATATTCTGTCTGTGTGTATGCCTGCAGGCCAGAAGAGGTCACCAGACCTCATTACAGATGGTTGTGAGCCACCATGTGGTTGCTGGGAATTGAACTCAGGACCTTTGGAAGAGCAGGCAATGCTCTTAACCTCTGAGCCAAAAGGCTCTCCAGCCCAGTAAAGAGTCTTTTTAACAATGAGTTAACTTGGGACCTCCATCCTCCAACACAGCGGGTGGAGTAGGAGAGACCCCGAGTCACAGTGGGGCAGGGTTTTTTTGTTTTTGTTTTTGTTTTTTATCATAGTAGAGGTTTGGCTGAGGGTATTTACAGGGTTCAGGACCCAGATTGACTGACATTTGTCTAGGGGTCTTAGCAAAAGGGAAATAGGTGATTCCCTAGGTTCAGGAATATCATCTGGTGGTCTTATCTAATCTAATGTTTGGAATGTCAGGTACTTCCTTTAGATGTTGGCCCTTCCTGGGAGGTATCAGATAATGGATTTCCCTGGAACCCAATGTTACCTGCCAGTAAACTGATACTCAGGCCTACTTTTTAGCTTATTTTTATTAAGTGTCATGGCAGCACTGTGGCCAAGCTGTTCTGGGCCCATGTGGCCAAGTTGTTCTGGGTTCCATAGAAATCAACCTTTTTTATCTTTGGGATAGAGGGAGAGGGATAAGCTTCTTCTGGGTGTGGTTAAAGGCATGACTTGGACTTTGTCGGGTCCCCTGGCAGTGAGGACTGCTCAGTGGGTGAGAGAATACACCATACAGGCAGAGCTTAGAGGAGTTTTATTGGGGGAAGAGAAGGGAAGGGAATGGGAAAAGGAAGGAAGAGAGGGGACAGGAAGAGAGAGAGAGAAAAGAGAAGACACAGGAGAAGCTCTGTCTGCCTTTTCAGAAGAACAGAGGGGAAGAGAGGCTGGGAGTAGGCAGAGCTTGTCTCTTAAAGGGACCTTTGCACCTGCTTACAAACTGGGACCCTGGGCTGGCCTGGGTACTATCTGGGTACATCCTGCCAGATGACAAGATTAGACATTATAATGCCTGAATCCTAACACTAGGGACTTAGTATTGCCTAGCATTAAGTAAGTCAGGTAAGCACCATAGCACTGTGTCTCTGCCACCAAGGTCTGTTCAGAGCAGACATCTGAAAGATGTCCTCTGGGTTTCTGTGCCTTTCTCCCATCTCCGCTGTCCACAGGTCTCAGCTGTGGGAAGTAGCTAGGGGGAGAGTCTGTTGAGAAACTTGTACCCAACTAATGGAAGCTGTGTGGTCAGTGTTAAGACAGCCAAGGGTTCCTTGAAGAACTCTTCCTTCTACTGTGGCGCCCTCTAGAGGTCACTGCAAGAGTTGACGACAAACACACAGGCAGGCACATAACCAGCCCTATTCAAGACTTTGGGGTTCTCCTACCCTATAAAGGAGAGTCATATGGGGTTCTTCTTTCTACTCTGGAAAAATGATGGTCCTGACACCCCCTGAAGGTTGAATAATATGGACTTTGGTAACATCTCAGGGTCTGGGAACAGCCAGAGCCAGAAACATCAAAATTCAGTTCTCTGTGGACAAATTAGTGGTTTTGTTGTCTTTACATATAAACATAAATAGTTTGAAGGTCTTATCGTTGTTTGATAATGCAAATGAATGCATGGGAGTGCACTTGGCATACCTGGGAGTGCACTTGGCATACCTGGGAGTGCACTGACTGGCGTAGGGTAGATGGATACCTACAATGTGGCCTCTCTTCCCATTTTTCTCTCATCACTTTTGTGTTTTCACTATAAGCATGAAGACATGAAAGAACAGGATGGGCAAGGCATCACATGCTTGCCATTCCAACACCTAGGTGTAGTGATATTTTGTTTGTGTTTTAACAAATAAAGATAGCCTAAAGAGTGCAGAGCTAAGCCACTAGCAGCCAGTGAGTGGTGGCACACACCTTTAATCCCAGAACTCAGGAGACAGAGGCAAAGGGATCTCTGTTAGTTCGGGGTCACCCAGGGCTGCACAAGGTTGAATCTGTCTAAAAGAGAAACAGAACTCACACAAAGGTGATCCCAGCACTTGGGATCCCACGCCTTTAATCCCAGCACAGGAAAGTGGAGACAGGAGTGTGTGGCTGGGTGGAGAGAGGACTATAAGGTAGGAGCTCCGTGCAATCTGAGGCTTGGTGGAGATAGAGGTAATTTGAGGACAGGATCGCCTCTTTGGTTTGAGCATTGGTAGAGGTTAAAAAAAAACTCTTTAGTGGCTGGCCTTTGCTTCTCTGATCTTCAGAATTAAATCCTATATCTGTCTCTGGGTTTTTATTATTAATACCAATTAAAATTCATGCTATATCTAGGAGACAGAGGCAGAAGGATCGCTGCAAAACTGAAGCCAGCTTGAACTACAGACTGAATTCCAGGTCAACTAGACTATATATTGAGACCCTGTCTCAAGCGTCAACCATCAATGAAGTAAAAAATAGAGAAAGTCATAATACATTGTAAAGGGTAAGAATATATGTGTGTGATACACACACAGATATGTGTGTATATATATGTAAGATTCTAGAAGACAAAGGGTGATTATCCCAGAATGCAGGCTTGCCAGCCAGGGCCACTTAGACTTTGTTCTTTATTGTCTCGTGTGTTGCTTACATTTTTATAAGAACAATATGTCTTTGTAAGAGAGGGCTTCGTTTCATTTTAATGTAATCAAATGGATGCTGCATTGAAACGTGTGGCTGTTTCTTTTGTGATCCTCAGATGATGCCTTTTTGCATTGTCCTCCCCAACTCCTCCTTGGAAACACAGACCAAAGAAGTGGAGCACTGTCCAGCACTGGGTTCATATCTAGGCAGCTGCTTCCTCCTGTGCGAACTCAGGAATGCTGATTTTGTTGGGGAGGTCCAAGTAAGCTCAACACATATGGTCCAAACACAGAGAAGCACCCAATGGTGCTTTCTCCCTATACTATATATTCCTATATGCTCTGAGGGTATCATTTCCACCTTCCTGGGCAGGAGAGATCCACAGCCTTACCTTTCTTTCTAGATGGAGAGCCACAGCTGCCTTTATTCTTCGTGTTCACAGTACAGTGCACACATTCTCTGAAAGACAGAGGATTCTAGTATGACTTGATGTGGATGACAGGGATCCTGGAGAGGTGCTGAGGGCTGTGTGAAGGATACGCTTGTCTTCCTGCAACTTCTGCCAGGAAAATCTTCAGGATAATTAGCATGGCCTGGGAGTCGGCACGGCTTGGCATTTGAGATTTAACCTGTTAGCCTCATTCATGTGGAAAGACCTTTGTGTCTCAAGTCATGTGTTAGATGCAAAGGCAATGGCTGGGAGGTACCTGCTTGGAGCCTTTACTTCCCTGTTAAGCATGTGGGTCACCAGTCTCTTGTGGAGGGATATTATGAGGATTGTGACCTGTCTCTTTAGGATTTACATTCCCCGTCACTGCCACATCACCTATTCTTAGGGCAGTTCTGCTACAGTCTCCAGATGTGTTTATCGAAACTATGACCCCAAGTTGTGGTAGTTCCTATTGGCCATCAGCACGACAGGTTTGAGGATTACCTAGGAATTGAAGCTCTGGGCATGTCTGGGAGGAGTTTCTAGATTGGCCTACTAGAGGTGGAAAGGCTGA